CTGTATACGTAGTTCTGTAGTGGGCTATTGAAGATTTCTATACAAGGTACCTTTCAACGACTTGTACAAATGTACTCTTCTGATTTTGTCAAACTCACCATCCAATAATAAAATGAAAGAACTAGTCGAGTTATACTTGTATGACATAAGGTAAACTACATATTAAGGCATAAAATCATTACTCAAGTACAAGATGATTTCTCTATTAGTCAGCCAAGTTCACACTAAAAATGCAGTATATTTTTATATGATCAATTGACAATGGAAAATTTCCTGTTTTTCACAGTGAGAAACGAAATTTGTTCTCATCAACAGCTTTTTTCATTATTGTGGGCTCCACAATTGAATAAAGTTGTTAGTTTATTTACAAAAATGCCATGTGAGAAACATTTGATCAAATAGCTTTTTCATAGCTGAACATGGACGAACCACAATTTTCAATGGCTCGGCTTTCTGCAAGTTAAAACCCAGGCGCTGTGGTCATATCAACCTAGTTGTGATCACTCTTCTCCAACTTGAAACATTGGATTAAAGAGCCAATGGTTAGCCCAATGATTCGAGTAGCCAAACCTTCACCAGGACAACTCCTTCTACCAGACCCAAAAGGCATCATTTTGTGTCCTATCTTATGACCTTCCACTCCTTCAAATCTCTCAGGCCTAAAACTTGTAGGATCATCCCATATCTTTGGGTCATTTTGTATTGCCCATAAGTTGATCTGTAGCATTGTACCTCGAGGAATATGACAACCTCCAACGGTACAGTCTTCCGTCATGAGGGACTAGGTTAGGGGCAGGGGGGTACATTCAGAGTGCTTCGTTAATGATGCATCGTAGATATGGAAGATGGTTAAGATCGGATTCTTCTAGTAATCTTTCATAGCCTATATGATTGTTGATTTCGGCTGTTAAGAACTTGAGGATTGTTGAGTAAGAGTGATAATGCCCATTCCATGGTCTCAGCTGATGTATCTGATGATCCTATTAGTAGATCCTGACAATGTACACAAAATAAAAATCGAATATAATGTTGTATAGACAACTTGTTACTAGAACATCTTTTTTTTAAAATGTGAACGAATTGAACAAGCTAATAACCCACTTTAGTTCACTTTTGATCTACTTGTAGAAAACGATTGTCAAGTATTCCCCTTTAACTTCCATTATTAGTTGAGATACTTTGACATTAGAGGTCAATAATAATTAAAGAAAAATTCTAACATCTCTACGTGTATCTTTTAGTTATACAAGTACGAACTACTCGTAATATAAAATACCAGTGATCAATATAATGTACGTATTAAGTTAAATTGTTGCAACTTTCTAACGTGATCTAGATGTAATTGTTGGAAGAAATAAATTTGTAAGCACATAGATACCAAAATGATGCCGAAGATGATATCATCCTTGCGATACTCTGTCTCTGACTCTTGCAGCTTAAGCAACACTTGGATCAAGGGCTTCATCACCACCATTGACTTCCCATCATCTCCATCTTCAACCTTCAACTTCTCCCTATGTTCCTCCATCACCTCCCTCAAAAACACCCCTCGCTCCGCCTTGAATCTCCTTAGCTCCCTCCCTTTCCACCAGTCTAACCACCTAAGACATGGTACCATATCTCCTATACAAGCATCATTAAACAAAGTCAACATTTTAGCCAACGTTTTCCTAAATTTATACTCTCCTTATCATCAACTCCATAATATCTCTTCCCAAATATCATCCTTGTCATTACATTCATCGAAAGCTCGTACACCAACGGCTTCATTTCAACGACTTCTAATGATGATAACGACGTACTAACTTTACGCATCAATCTTTGGATCATTAACCTCTCCTCATCGGAGCGTATGCTGGCGAGCAGCTTGAGCCGGTGAGACGAGAAGATTTCGATGGTGGAGATCCTCCGTAGCTTTCGCCAGTCAGGTCCATAAGGAGCCCAAATGAGGCTAGCATAGTCGTAGGCTAAGTGTTTTGCGGTGAGGAATCCACTTGGACGGTTGCAAAAAACGACGTCGTTTTAGGCAAGGCACTCCTCGGCAGCTGAGGGTGATGATATTAGGAGAACCGGACGTGAACCGAACCGGAGCGAGAGGATTGGACCGTACTGATCTGCAAGGTTGGCTAGGGTCTTGTGAAATGGTTCCTTGAGAATGTGGAAATGGCCAATTATGGGAAGACATGTGGCGGGGCTCGGAGGGCCTTTTTGTAAATTTTTCCGAAAGTGGTATTTTAATAGGTTGAGAACTAAGATTACTGATAGTATACAGTACAAGTATGTATTAATCTCCATGTTTGAATTTATTTATTTTTCTTAAGTTAACGTTGGAGATATAAGGAGGAGATTAAGACTTTAACTTGGAAGTTACGTTAGATTGTATGATTTGGTATTAGTGTACTTGAGTTGTAATATAAAACTAAGGAGATAAAGATCGAGTAAGATATGTGCATATGTATGTCACATTATGTCATTATGGGTTGACAAATTCATGTTTTTATGCTTTCTTTTCTATTAAGTAAGGTTTGACCCAAAAATAAATAAATAAATTTAAAGGAATATACCATTTACTACCTTCATGGTGGCCTCATGGAGGTATAAGGTATGCATGAGAGACTACTTCAATTCTCAAAGTGTGAACTATTAATTTCAGATTTTTTGATAATTGGATATTTCTACTACGGTCATGCTTAAAATGACTATCTTTATTCTTAAATCCTATTGGTTGATTTTTCCTTTATTTTAAATGCTTGGTCAAACCTCTTTTTTTAATTTTTTTTCTTTTCTAAAAGCATTTTCTATTTTCTAAGAATTAATTTTGGTTTTTTCTAAAATCTTTTTATCTTCTTAATTATTTAATTGAAATCACTTTTTAACAAAATCCAAAAATAAGATTAAATTAAAAAAATTTAAATCAAGAAATCATTCTTCATTGTTTTTCAACGTTCTTCGAGGTTCTTCATCCATGAATAAAATTAACCACTAATTCGTCATTTCTATCCCGTAAATTCATTCTAGCAACGACGAAGATTGAAATTATGCCCGATCTACACAGCGTCTACGCAAATTTTTAGTTTTCAAAAACTGGGGTTTCCGCAAATCTAAGTCAGGTTGGTTTTAAATCCTATACTTTTTAATCAACAATCTCAGTTAATGGATGCATGCGAAATAGACAATTATTCATAAACGAATAAAAAAAAAATCAATTATTCTATAATCTAGGTTCGTTAGGTAAATCTCGCAAGAAACCGCAAAATATTTTCTTTGAAACTCTGTTCGATCCAAAAAAACGAATATGAAGTTATAAATCTTGTTTTTGTATAAGGAATTCATCCAAAAACTCATAGGACATTACCTGTGACACACATATTTATTAATTATTGCCTACAACCAGATGTACATGATTAGCTTATAATTTAAGCTTTTGATAATATATGATCTTTGATTATTTAAGTCAATGAATGACTTACCATAACTAAGGTGCATATAATTTTACTAAAATAATGTAAACTATAATTATGATGTATATTATGACCTAATACATGTTAGTTGATTACCTCTTATATAAAGTCAAAGATTTTATTAGCTTATATTTCAACATATAGTTACATACTTTATATATATATATATATATATATATATATATATATATATATATATATATATATATATAGGGGAGGGATCCGGTAAGAACCCCTCCTTATGTAAGAACCCTAGTTATATAAGAACCAATCTCATCCGTAGGATTAGATTAGGATGAGCGGTCAAGATTAAAACAAAAAAAAAATCCCCCAAAACCCTCCCTAAACGTTCATACTTTTCTCTCTCCTCAAACTTTCAATCCTCTTTACTTTCTCTCTCCTCAAATCTCAAAATCTAGCCCAAATTGCTGCAAAACAACCTAAATTGCTCAAATCAGGTACGTTTTTCTTTGATTATGTTCTAATTTTATGAATTTCACATGATATTCAATTCGATTTTGTGATTTCAATCGCATGATGTTTGCAAACTGGCGATTTTGATTTTTGCGATTTGATTTTCATGAATTTTGCATGAGTTAAAGCCGATTTTGTATGTTTTTCTTTTCGATTTTGTTTAAATTTCTATGAAATTAGCATGATGTTCAAGTGGATTTTGTTTTTACATTCGATATATTTTTGAGTAAGTTTGAGGATAGGTTTTTTTGGATAAATGGCTAGTCATTTTTATTTATTTATTTATTTGCATCTTTTCTTTATGAAAAAATTCATATTATACTGAACGCCCATGACACAACCCAGAGGCCTCGAATTACCAGCACATATTATTATTTTTGAGTAAGTTAGATAGCTTTAGTGTTCGAATTTAGGGTTCAATTTTAGTTCGATTTTTGTTCGATTATTTTGTTTGATTTTTGCTCGATTTTAGTTCGAATTTTGCTTGATTTTAGTTCGATTTTGCTAATATTTTGAATTATTCAATGCGAAAATGTACCGAAGAAAATTCAATAATAGAGCATCTAGAACAGAGACAACATAAAATCAGTTATCATCCCGACCCATCGCTGTCAATTCGTTCATAATACGATGTGACATTACAATCAAAGAGGAATCATAAAAAAGGCGTAAAATTAGAATGTTGTCAAAATGACTTTGATCGATATGCTTGATCGCAGTGACATTGCTTGATTTTATGAGGCTGGTGGTTAATTTCTTTGAGGTTTTGTTATAAATTTAAACCAAGACTGAGGCATGTTAATTAGCTTTTCATTAGTAAACTCAGCTAACAGCATATGGTACTCGACTTCTTCCCCATGCTAGACCTTTGCAAGGTTTGACTCCATCAGCAGCAACATGACAATTGGCTTTGGTGAGGATTTATTTCTTTGGTGACTCAGATTCCTTTGTGTTCTCCAGGCCTTTTATGGTCTTATACTTGAGTTTCTCTAGTTCATTGGGTCTTCATTCTACAATCAGCTTGCAACCCTTTCGTTGCACTCCAAAGTGATGAATGCTGCCTGTGTGATTGTGAATTATGTTGACATTTTTGTTCTGCGGTGATGTATTATAGAATCAGCAATTCAGCATATTGGGAACTATGCATTGTATTTCGGATCCTTTTGCATGGAGTTCACTTATATATCGACTGTGCATTTTAATGGATCCTTTAGAACATAGGGGTTGTTAATTGGTTAGGGGTTGTTAGTAGTGAACTTGTGATTGCAGGGCTGAAAACAAACTTTAGAACATAGGTAGAAAAAATTTGGAACATAAGAAAAAATTAGAACATAGGTTGAAATAATTTAGAACATGGGCTGAAAATAAACTCAATCAAACCTTATCATGTTTCTGTTTCATTTGTCTTTTAAATTTCTAGTTTACTCATTCTATTTTGGGTTTTTCACTCTCTAGCATGTTCTAAACTATTTTTCAGCATATTCTAAATTATTCCTATGTTCAAAAATATAATAATAATGTTGGAATGTTACTAATGTTTTTGATTTCTTAATGTTGCAGTAAAATGCAAGGCCAAAATGAAGAAAAATCAGAAGAAGGAGTTACTAATATACAAGAAGAAGAAATTACTTATGTAAGAAAAAGGTAACTAAACTAATGTTCTAAACTTTACCTATTATGTTTTAAATTTTGTTCTAAAGTTTTCCAATATGTTCTAAAGTTTTCCCTTAAGTTCTAAAGATTTGTATTATGTTCTAAAGTTTTCCATTATGTTCTAAAGTTTTCCATTATGTTCTAAAATTTTCTCTTATGTTCTGAAGATTTGTATTATGTTCTAATATGTATCCATTATAGTTTATGTTCATCTTATCCCTTTATATTTGCACTCTATTTAATGTTAGTTGTATTCTAATTATTTTTAATTGTTTTTAAAGGAAAGTTGAAAACGTTGAAGCGGAAGTAATTGATAGATCGGAATTTGAGAAGCATATTGAAAGTAAAAGTGTTGCTATAAGACATAGAAAACTTCCAACAAGGCTTCAACCACCTCGAAAATTGCAAAAAAAGGAAGGAAGAGAAAAAGATCAAGAAGAAGGAAAAGATCAAAAAGAAGAAGAGGGTAATAATGTTGAGGATGATGACAAGAATAATGATAGTAAAGATGATGGTGAGGATGATAATAAGGGTGATGTAAAGATGAAAGAGAAAGATGAAAAAGAGGAGATGGAAGATGATAGTGAGGAGGAACAAAAAATCAATAAAAAAAATCAAACTCAGGTAATAATACTCTTTAATCTTTACAATCTTTATTTTTATGTTCTAAAGTGCACGCTTATGTTCTAATTTTGCTTATCTATGTTCTAATTATGTTTATCTATTCATGGTGAGGATGTGAAGAAGAAGAAAAGAAAGATTGAAAAAGAAGAAGATGGTGAGGATGTCCAAGTAGTAGAAGCTAATGAGCAAGATAAACTAGTTAAGAGGCAACCTTATCAAAGAGTACCTCCTACTCAATTCATGAAGGATGTGTTGATAAATCTTTCGGAAAAACAAAAGCAAGCTATTCGGAACATTGGTTTTGGAGGCTTTTTGGAATTGGATTTACCAATCCATATTAATTCTACGTAAGTAGTAGAATGTTATGTTCTAAAATCATATTCTAAAATCATAAGTATTATCAATGTTATGTTCAAAATTATGATTTGTCATGTTTGAATTGCTATACACTAATGTTCTAAATTATAAGATTATGTTCTAAATTAGTTATGCTCTAAATTTTGTGCATATGTTCTAAATAATATGATTATGTTCGAAATTAGCTATGTTCTAAATTATGTGCATATGTTCTAAATTGTATGATTATGTTCTACATTATGTGCATATGTTCTAAATAATATGATTATGTTGTAAATTACTTATGTTTTAAAGTTACTTCTTGTATTCTAAAATTATGAACTCTCATGTTTGAATTGCTATACACTAATGTTCTAAATTAATTTTTTGTTATGTTCTAATGTATGTTTATTATGTTCTAAAATAGACTTTTTTTATTATATAATGTTCTAAATTATGTTCAAAAGTTTAAATATTATACTAAATGTTTTAATCTTCTATGTTCTAAAGATTGACTATTATATTCTAAATATAGCTGTATTGTGCTTTAAATCTTACATTTTTCATTATAATTCTAGGTTGACAGAAAACTTGGTTACGAATTTTGACACGGAGAGATGTTGTTTGATGTTACCAAAGAGAAAACAAGAAATCTTTTTGGAGGCAATTGATGTTCATTTGGCTTATGGGTTGCCATTGGGAGGCAAAAGGATTGAGCAACCAAATGATGAGTCAAATCTGAAATGGAGCAAGTTTCTAAAAGCTTGGAGAAGCAAGTTTGGCCTCAAAAAAGTATGATGATATAATGTGGTTATGTTTTAAATTTTATGTTCTAAAGTATGAATTTTATGTTATAAATTGTATGTTTTAAAGTGCTTTGCTTATGTTCTAAAGTGTTTTTTGCTTTAAAATAGATCTATTATCTCCATAGGTTTTAATTTATATGTTTTTTTTTTACCTCTAAAAGGGAAGTCCAACCAACAAGAGATTGATTGACAGAATTCAAGAATTGAAGAAGGAAAAATCAGTTTCTGATGAATTTCTTTGGAACTTTGTGGTATGTGTTGTCAATTGTTACATTCGATCAACAAACAACCCACAACTATACATTAAATTCTTGTATAGTTGTATGGATGTAAAGAAAATTGCTGAATTGGATTGGTGCACATTTGTGATTGAGCACTTGAAAGATTCTGTAAGTGTATGGAAGAAGGGAAATTCTTACTTTACAGGTCCTTTACCTTTTCTAATGGTAAGTTTTAAATTCTTACCATTATGTATATATATTATTCTTGTTATGTTGAAAATGTGTGAAAAATATTCTAATTAATTCTTAACATGTACTAAATAGGTATTCTATTTTGATCGTCTACAAAGAGGAGGGTTAGAAAAACCAAGAAAATGTCCACTAATTTCGGTGTGGACAAAGGAAAGGATTCAAGTGAGATATAAGTTTGAAAAAGATCATGGATTTGGATATGGAAAACTCTTGGAAAGAATGGAATCAATTGTGGTATGATATTTGTATATGTTTATGTTTAAACACTACACTTTATGTTGTTGTTTTCTAAATTTTATAATTTATATACTAGAAGGCACCAAAAGGAAAAAAGAAACAACCAAAACAAAAGGAAAAAGAGAAGAGAATGGAAAAATCATCAATAGGTTCTAGTTCTACAACTTCTCGAAATGACATGATGGTATGATTTAGTTTATATTGTAAATTATATTTTATGCTCCATTTAATCCTTTTCTGTTAAATTATCCATGTTATGTCCTTTATGTTCTAAAATATTTTTGTGTTCTAATGAAGGGCTTTTTGAGCAAATTTGGAGATTTGGCAAAAACACTTTCCTCGAATGTTAAAGAGATGTATGGCATGTTAGAACAAGCAAAAGATCTTTTTGTTGAGGAAGAAACAACAGGAAAAATGCAACATCTCATAGACAACATATGGTGCAAGTACACAACAAAGGTATTATAATTATGTTCTAAAGTATTTTCTGGTTGTGTTCTAAAGTATTTTCAGCTTATGTTCTAAAGTATAATAAATTTATATAAATATTATGCATATTATGTTCTAAATTATAATTTCTTATTTTATAGACATTCGTGAACCAAGAAGAAAAGAAAAGCCCTTCTATACTCAGCCAAGATCAACATGTCTTCGATGAACCGGCATTTATTGAAGAATTGGATATGGTTATGGATAAGGCATGGAAGAAATTCGAGGAAACAAGGTCACCAAAGTCACCGACAGTTGGTAATTTCACATGTACATGCTTAATTTCCAAATTATACTTATGTTCTATATTAGATGCTTATGTTTTAAAGTACTTTTTTATGTTCTAAAACATGCGCTTAAATCACATGCTTATGTTCTAAATTATATGATTATGTTCTAAATTAGTTATGTTCTAAATTAGTTATGTACTAAATTAGTTATGTTCTAATTGTTAAGCAGATTTGAGATCAAAGGAAGAGGAAAAAGATAAGAACAAAGAAGAGAGAAATGAAGAGAATAAAGACAAAAACTTGTTGATTCCCTCACCAGTAGTTGGTAATTTCACATTATTTTCAAATTCATTTTTTATGTACTAATATTTACTAGATATGTTCTAATATTACTTCTTATGCTCTAAATTTTTTCTGGTTATGCTTTAAAGTTAATTCTTAATTTTTTATATTCTAACTATTTCTAGGTTGTCTCCTAATTGTATATATTTCTTATGTTCTAAAGTTACTTTTTATTTTCTAATTATTTTTTGCTATTTTCTATAATACTTAATTTTTATGGTGTAATTGCTATGAAAATTTGGGATCAAAAGAAGAAGAAAAAGAGCAGTACAGAAAAGAGAGAAACGAGGAGGAAAAAATTGAGAAGAAAGAGAAAAGGAATGAGGAGTCACCAAAAACCCCAATTCCTTTAAAAAAGAAGCAACCTTTTGATATAACTCCTCCAAGTTTCAAGTTATTGACCCCCTCACCAGCAGTTGGTAGTTTTACATTATTTTCAAACTTTTTTCTTTTGAAATAATATTACTAGATTTGTTTTAAAATTACTTCTTATGTTATAAATTTTTTCTGTTATGTTCTAAAGTTATTTCTGATGTTCTAAATTTTTTCTAAATCAGATGCTTATGTTTTAAACTACTTTCTTATGTTCTAAATTATGTGCATATGCTCTAAATTATATGATTATGTGCTAAATTATGTGCATATGCTCTAATAATATGATTATGTTCTAAATTATGTGCATATGTTCTAAATAATATGATTATGTTCTAAATTAGTTATGCTCTAAATTATGTGCATATTTTCTAAATAATATGATTATGTTTGAAATTAGTTATGCTCTAAATTATGTGCATATGTTCTAAATTGTATGATTATGTTCTAAATTATGTGCATATGTTCTAAATAATATAATTATGTTGTAAATTAGTTATGTTCTAAAGTTACTTCTTGTGTTCTAAATTTTTCTGGTTATATTCTAGTTATTTCTAATGTTCTAAATTTTTTCCAACTATTTCTATGTTGTGTCCTTATTGTTTCTACTTATGGTTTGATGTCCCAGAAAATCAAGAAGATAATGAAGCAGAACTCACTTACGAAGAAGTGACAGCAAATGTTCTAAATTGTGCTTTTCTAAATCCAGATCATCCACCTACATTGGATGAAGAGGAGAAGCAAGAAGAGGAAAAAGAGGAGAAGAAAGAAGAGGAAAAAGAGGAGAAGAAAGAAGAAAAGGAGAAGAAGAAAGAAGAGGAAAAAGAAGAGAAGCAAGAGGAGAAGAAAGAAGAAAAGGGGAAGAAGAAAGAGGAGGAAAAAAAGGAGATCCAAGAGGAGAAGAGAGAAGAAAAGGGGAAGAAGAAAAAGGAGGAAAAAGAGGAGATCCAAGAGGAGAAGAGAGAAGAAAAGGGGAAGAAGAAAAAGGAGGAAAAAGAGGAGAATCAAGAGGAGAAGAAAGAAAAAGAAGGAAGCAAGAATGAAGAGAAGAACAAAGAAGAAAAAAATGAGAACAAGAAAGGGTAATCATTTTGTAAACTTTAAAACAAATGTTGGTTATGGTTTAGTTAAATTTTAATTTAGAACTTGGTAATAATAAATTTTGGTTTGATTTGGTTATGGTTTTTGTTATCAATAAATTTTGGTTTGATTTAGTTATGGTTTTTGTTATCTATGTGATATTTTTTAATTGAATTAAGTAGGAAACAAGGAGAAGAAAAAGGAGAAGAAAAGACACGGAAAAAAAGAGGAAAGGATAAGCTTCCAATGTACTTGCGTTCACCTTTCATGGTTGAACATGAAAAACTTTTCAAGAATGTGGACAATAGAAAGGTAGCTGAGTATGCGTTTGCTCAAGGAGATAATAAGTAAGACTTTAAAACTTTAAAATTATATGCTTATGTTCTAAGCTATATGCTTATGTTCTAAGCTATATGCTTATGATCTAAGCTATAAATTATGTTCTAAACTTCATTCTTATGTTCTAAACTGCGTGTTCTAAGCTACGAGATTATGTTATAAAGTACATGTGTAAAACTATATGCTTATGTTCTAAAATAGGTACTTATGTTCTAAACTATATTCTTATGTTTTAAATTATGTGTTTATGTTCTAAACTACATGCTTATGTTCTAAACTACATGCTTATGTTCTGATTTTATTGTTCTGATTTTAGGGAGCTTTTGTATGCTGATAACATGGGGACAACGATTACGAGAGATGAGATTCATAGTCTCATAGAAGATAAGCACATGTTGAACAATGTTGTGGATGCTTATGTTTGCCTATTGAATTTTGAAAATAAAAGACGTGGTGTAGACAAGAAGAGTAGATTCTTTTTCAGTACTGAATGCTATGTATGTTTTCGAACTTAAAATTATAACTATGTTCTAAGAGTAGATTCTTTTTGTTTCTCATATAGATTATACTATGCACCTATGTTCTAATTACTTATGTTTTAATTTCTTTTTCTTTTTCAGCTCATATGTTGTACAGAAAAATACTTCAAATCAAATGAAAGGCAAGATGATAGAATGAAGGCTTTGTTTGATAGAATGCAACAAGAAATGACAACGACCGAAGTAACAAGCTTCAAAAGCATTCAATTGGTAATTTGGTATCTTATTATGTTGTACTTTTTTCTTATTATATGTTCTAATTATTGGTTTTGTTTATGTTCTAATTATTTTTATCTATGTTTTAAAGTATCTACTTATGTTCTAAACTACTTATTTATCTTCTAAACTACTTACTTATGTTCTAAACTACATGTTATAAAAATTATATGCTTGTGTTCTAATCTATATGCTTATGTTCTAAAATGCATGCTTATGTTCTAATTTTGCTTATCTATGTTCTAATTCTGTTTATCTATTAGGTTTTCTTCCCGGTCGTTTTACCAGATCACTACTATTTGCTGTGTGTCAACTTTGTGGAAGGAACATTTGATTTGATTGACAACAGATTTCTTCCACCAAATATTCCTTTTCACAATAAATATGGAAATTACCATAGATTAATGGTAAGACATCAAGTTTACATTTTTTTAATTATACTTTTGTTCTAACTTTTGCCTTATATGTTCTACAGTTTTTCTTTATGTTCTAAAGTTTACCTTATATGTTCTAAAGTTTATCCAATTTTTCAGTTGAATGCATTTGCTGATTTCGTTCACTCAATTGACTCAAATATAAAGAGTGACTTTGTATCCTCCTTCAAAACAAGAAACTTGAGTATGTCATGGAAGAGCAATAAGAACAAACATGATTGTGGAGTGTTCCTGTTGAAGCACATGGAAACATATGAAGGAGAATCTGTAAAACAATGGAATTCGGGACTAGAATTAGACAATGTAAGTTTAAAACATAAGATACATGTTTTAAATTAGTTTCGTTTATGGTTTTGGTGTTATGGTTTTAGTGTTGTGGTTTGGTTTGGTTTGGTTATTGTTTAGATATATTATGGTTTATTATATTTATTTATACTTATATGCTAAATTATATTCATGTTCTAAATTATATGCTTATGTTCTAAAGTATTTCTGTTTATGTTCTAAAAGTTACTCTTTTTTTTTTTTTTTTTGCAGTTTGACCAAATGTTTATGTTTATGTTCTAAAAGTTACTCTTTTTTTTTTTTTTTTGCAGTTTGACCAAATGAAAAAATTAAGAGTGGAGTATTGTGGGAAGATAATAACAGCAGAAGTAAATGAAGAACGGAACAAAGTGATTAGGAGATCAAAAAAGTGGTCAAAGGAGAACAAAATGGATATATGATTGTTAAGATCTTAAGTTTATATTTGTAGAGAGATATTTGCAAAGAATATAACAGTAATTTTTTATGTTCTATGTATTTACCTGTTACAAGAAATATATTGTTGAATCATATTAAATGCTAAAATTTTAATATAAAATATATCATATAAACTTATATGCTAAATTATATTCATGTTCTAAATTATATGGGTATGTTCTAAAGTATTTTTGATTATGTTTTAATAATTATATGCTTATAAAGTTAGGATATTAGAATATATTATTATATATTAATTTTGACTTAAAACTTAAAGTGTAGAACATTAGAACATAAGAAAATTAAAAAAAAGTAACAAGAAATGACAACAGCCAAAGTAACAAGATTCCAAAGCATTCAATTGGTAACTTGATTCTAATTATATCTTATTATGTTGTACTTTTTTCTTATTACATGTCCAAATTATTGATTTTGCTAATCTTCTAATTATTTTTATCTATGTTCTAAAGTATTTGCTTATGTTCTAAACTGGCTGCTTCTAATCCATTACTTTTGCTTTATTTTTCCTTTTGAATACAATGCATACACTCTTTAGTGCATATCTAAGAAGGCATATGTAAATCAATGTTAAGAAACTTGAATAAATAAAAGTTGATTAAAGCAAGATTCAACTAAATGTTGTTTAATAAAGGTATCTAAAATGCTTGTACTATCATTACTCGTAGTACAAATTGACTTAATAAAACAACTTATAATTACGAAAAGGGGGGAAGATGAAAAGACAGGAGATGTTATAAAACATTATAATCAACTTTAATTAACATAAAAATTGATAAGAAAAACACTAGTAGAGATACTCTGAATAATAATTGGACAAAAAAGAAATAAAAATATATTGTTTCTAAAAGTAAATAAATTGAGTTCTTATATTTTAAGAATTACATGAATAATATTTTACGTGCTAGTAAATGAGATATTGTTTCTAAATATATAACATCTCATGCAACTGGATTAATAGTATATTCACCAACCTGTAAAGAAAAAAAAATAAAACAATATTAGAACATAAGCACATAATTTAGCATTAAAAAATGTTATAACATGCCATTTCTATTAGTTTAGAACACATGATATTATATAGAGTAAAAACTTTAGAACATTTAAAGAAACCTTTAAAACATATAAAGAAAACTTTAGAACATATAAAGAAAATATTTTGAACATAAAGAGAAAAGTTAAAATATAAAGGAAAACTTTAGAACAAAATGAATAACTTTATATTCTAAACATTAGAGCATATTAAATTACACTAAAACAGAAAGAATAAACATTAGAACATAGAGAAAACACTTTAGAACATAGAAAAGTAACTTTAGAACAAAGAGAAAACACTTTAGAACATATTGAATTACTTTAGAACATATATGAATAACTTTATGTTCTAAACTTGCTTAAAACATAATTACTTTAGAACAAAATAAATATAAGAAAATTAAAAATAAAGTTTACTTACAATATCACTTGACTTTTCCAGGGCAATTACGACTATCATGATAACCAAGCTCCCCACATGCTCTACATAATCTCTTCTTCTTTTGACTTTGTTCAATAGACTTTTCTCTGTCACTCTTCATTCTTTTGTCACTATTTGGAACATGAACCTCATTTGGAACATGGACATCATTTGGAACATGGACATCATTTGGAACATTTACCTGATTTGGAACATGAACCTGATTTGGAACATGGACATCATTTGGAACATTGACCTGATTTGGAACATGAACCCCCGTGCCTTTGTTCTTCGAAATTTTAGGAGGTTTGATTAAAACATTAGAAGGTAGACTAGCTCCAATAAGCATTTCAATGTCTTTAACTTTGCTCGAAAGATTGTTGCTTCCATTTGTTTTCTTCTGTTCCAAATCTACCCTCATGGCTCGAAGTTTTTTGACAAGATCACTAAGATCATCTTCATTGTTTTGCACTAAACTCACACAAGCATGAATTTCAGACCACAAATCATTTAATAACATTTTCTTATCTACTGCATTAATACATTCCTCCAACACATTACCCTCTAAATCAAAAATGGGCTTCTTATAAGCCATTGTACACCATCTATTTAGAATGTAGGCCTTGGGAATTTTTTCTAACATCCTTGCCTTCCACACCCAAATCATATGCCTACAAGGCACACCATCACGTTCAAATTTTTTACAAAAACACTTGGTATCAAAGGTAGTTGGATCAAAAACAACATCAAAAGTCCTCCTTCTAGTTCCTTCCCTCAAATTGAAAATGTAAAGCTCATTGTCCTTCTTCATCTCCTCAACACCACAATTAAAACATCCAATTTCAAGCTCATATTGAAATTCATAGAAAATTGTTGTTGTAAACAATATAGAAGCATCTTTCTCTAAAGGAATTGGAGTCTTACACTCCGGACGCTTATTCTTCGAATCATTATCCATTTTATTTTGAGTGTGCCTTTGAGCATCCAATGCACATTCAAACCTATAGAAAATAGAAATTAACTTTAAAACATAGAAGATAATTGTAGAACATAGAGTGAATTACATTAGAACATATAAATATACATGACATGTTTATTATGATCTAAATATTATTAAAACATAAAGAGAAAAAGATAACATAAAAGAGAATTATAAAATAAATAGTAAAACTATAAAGTATAAAAAGAAAACTTTAGAGCATACAAGGAAAACTTTAGAACATAAAGAGTAACTTTAGAACATATATAGACAATTACTTATTACCTCATGTAGAACTCAATCAAAGTGAGATGGGGATTTGTGAACATAGTGAAAAAATTATTTTCACTTTCTGATCTAGATGTGGTTCTCATAATGCCACCCAAAAATAAATCTCTGAAATACGCTGGAATCCACATATCACGTATGTTGTACATGTATGCCAACCATTCATGATCGTTCAAATGGAATTCTGAAATAACTTTGTTCCACTTTTCTTCAAATTCTGCCGGCTCAATCTCTAAATGCCAAACACATGAACACAATTTTTTCAAGAAATCAGTGTCTTGGGCAATCGCCCGACCTACTTTTTCAGGCACCTTTTTCATAATATGCCACATACAAAACCTATGTTCTGTAGTTTGAAAAACATTACGAACATCAACTTTCATTGCAGGGTCTTGATCGGTAATCAAACACACAGGCTCGTTATTTCCCATTGCTTTAAGAAAAGTTTTGAAAACCCATTCAAAAGATGATATATCCTCATGAGCTACAAAAGAAGCCGCAAAAGTAACACATTTTTTATGATGATCAACTCCAGTAAATGGACCAAAGATCATATTATATCTGTAACATACACAAATTATTTATGCAGAAAATAGAGGTAAACTTTAGAACATAGAGGTAAATTGTATAACATAGAGGTATACTTTAGAACATTAAGGATAAACTTTAGAGGATAGTAATTTAATTTAATTATTAAACGTGGCAGTAATATAGTTGTTTTAAAACATAATGAATTACTCTAAAACATAAACACTAAACTAAAAATATACAATGTAGCTTTAAAAACTTATAAGTAAACTTTAGAACATATAGACATAATGTTTAGAACATGATGGATATTAGTTTAGAACACAAAGAATAAAGTGTAAAACACAAAAGCATAATGTTTAAAGCATAAAAGCATGATGGATATATTTTAAAGCATAAGGTAGAACATTAGCAATATATGTTTAGAACATAAGGCATACATAGTTTAGAACATAAAGAATATTTGTTTAGAACATCAAAACATGATGGATATTTGTTTAGGAACACAAGGCATGATATTTAGAATATAAGAACATATGTTTAAAAAATTAATATGTAAAAGTAAAATATTAATTACATTATGAAAGAAATTTATATTTAAAACATCACCTGTTTGTTTTGAATGTGGTATCAAAAGAAACCATATCACCAAAAAGTGCATAATTTTTTCGACAGATTGGATCAGCCCATAAAGCTCTACAAAGTCTATCTTCTTCATCAACATCATAGGAAAAAAAAAATGCACTCCATAGCAATTTCTTATTTTGAAAATTATCCACAAACATTTGGGCATCTGATCCATCAATAAAAGCCTTCAAATCTCTATAAAAATTTTTGAAATCTTGTTTAGATGCACCAACATTATCATGTGATCCAGCTAATTCTTTCATCATAGTATAAGACCTCACAGGACCAACATTTACCTGTTAGAAAAAAAAAAATATTACTAAGATTAAGAATTAACTTTAGAACATAGTAAATCAAAACAAAAAAAAACATTATTTAGTACATAAAAATAAATCACCTTTGAATTATCAACAATCAACTTTTTATGCATAATAAGCATTTTTCTATTATCCTTCTGAAATTTTGCACAACTTGGAGTATATAAAGGATGATTATGTTCTTCTTTGAAATGAGTTACAACATACTTTCCAGCATCATATCTCATACATATGTGAGCATTGCATCCTACACGAGTGACTAAACGTTTCCTAGTAATACGAACTTTTCCTTCTTCATAAACTGTTTGTTGAGCAATAGGTTTTCTTATTGCCCTAAAACCTTCCTTATTGCAAACTCCATATTGAAAAGCAATTATATCTTTGTTATTCTTCTTCCTTTTAGTAGTAGATTTCCTAGAAGTAAACCCAGCGGCATTTGCATATGCTTTATAAAAACTAAGACCCTCTTCAGGATCTTTAAATATCATCCCCAAACTGGGTTTTAACTCCTCGGGAACACTTGGAATCCATTCCTTAGTGGTACCACCAGGGCTAAATGATCCAACAACCTCTAGAGTACGATAAATATCACCAACTGCATTAGAACATGAAAGTAAACATTAGAACATAAAAATAAACTTTATAATATAAAGAGAAAGATACATAAAAAACTTTAGAACATACAGAGAAAACTTTAGAACATCAAAGATAAACTTTAGAACATCAAGGATAAACTTTAGAACATATAAAATCAGGGACATACTTATAACATAGTGAATTACTTTATAACATACATAATAAAATTTACAATAAAGTGAAAAAATTAAACTAGAAGGTTAACTTTAGAACATACAATGAAAGTAAACATTAGAACATAAAAAGTAAAATTTAAAATTAGAAGGTAAACTTTAGAACATAGAATGAAAGTTTTAGAATATAAAGAGAGAGATATATAGAAAACTTTAGAACATACAGAGAAAACTTCAGAACATTACAGATAAATGTTAGAACATAGTAAAGAAACTTTAGAACATGTAAGTAAATTGAAATTAAAACATTGAAAACAATAAAATTACCTGAATGAGTAACACAGGAAGAAGGATAATTAGGTTGCACACCATCTAAATCCATCAATATGCATAAACCTATTTTGAAAAACACAAATTGTAGCAAAAAAGCAACCAGAAATTAAAATCCATTAAAAATCAAAAATCTGGAAAACAAAATAGGATAAAATCGAAAACGATGTTGAAAAACTCAAGCAAAGGAAAAAAACAGAAAAATCTGGAAATAAAAAATCTGGAAATAAGCAAAGGAAATAAAATCTAGAAATAAAATTTGGAAAAATCTGGAAATTGAAGAAGAAAAAGAAAACTAGAAAACGAAATTGATGAAATTAATGAAAAAAACTCAAACAATGCTCTACCCGTTGAGCTAGTAGGCTAATGTATATAAAACACTTGAACTAGAGGAAAAACTACTAACAACTATATGAGATAATCACAAAAGTAATTTTTTTTTGTTTAATCATATCCTTTTGCACTTCTAAACACTATCTTTAGCATCGTTTATTGTAATTTGATGATCGATTACTTGCATTAAGGTGGGTTCATTATATTGGCTATATAATCAATCTATCATTAGTAGTCCTTTAAAGCAAAAGTTATCCCAAGTTAAGACTAGTGCTAATTAAACAAGCTTTGACAAACATGCTAAGATTGTCTACTTTAGAACACAATGAATTACTTTAGAACATAAAGAGTAAACTTAATATATGCTAAATAAAAGTTTAGAACATGCTAAGATAGTTAAATAATAGTTTAGAATATAATGAATTACTTTAGAACACAGTGAATTACTTTAGAACACAAAGAGTAAACTTTATAACATAGATGGAAAATTTTAGAACATAGAAGGAAAACTTTAGAACATCTTGAATTATTTTAGAACATAATGAATTACTTTATGTTCTAAATTTCCTTATAACATAGTGAATTATGTTCTAAATTTGATTTGCTTAGAACGTAGTAAATTACTTTATGTTCTAAATTTGTTTAGAACATAGCTATGTTCTAAATTTGCTTTTGCTTAGAACATAGTGAACTATATAAAATCTAGAAATAATAAAATTAAAAAAAAAAAAAGGAAAAGGAAAAACCACCACCACCCTTTTCCTCTTCCCAGCCACCAAATTCGCCGCCGTCGCTACCCTAGCCGCCACCTAACCTTTCTCTACCCAGCCAACCCTAACCTCGCCGGTGAACAGATCCCCTGTGCCGGGGACCCACCCAGCCTCCCCACCCCCCTTTTTCCTTTTTCCTTTTTCCTTTTGAGAAAAAATTAACGCATCAAAATCGCAGCATACACAAATCGCAAAAAGCTGGAAAATTTTGAGAAAAAATCGCAGCAAATAAAACAGCATCGAAATCGCAAAAGAAAACCGAACAAAAAAAATCAAAATAAGAACAAACAATTCGAACAATCAAACAATCGAATTGATAAATAATCGAGCAAAATAAATATACATCGAATAGAAAATCGCCAAAAACAAAATCGAATAGAAAATTCGCAAAAAATCGCAAAAATATTGACGAAAACATGAATTAATCAGTAAAAATCGAACATAAATCGCAGCAAAAATTGAGAAATAAACGCATCAAAATCGCAGCATACAAATCGCAAAAATCAGGGAAATATTTGAGAAAAAATCGCATAAAAACGCAACAAAATCACATCAAATTGCAGCAAAAAAATCGCATCAAAATCGCATAAAATTCGTAGCAAAATCGCAGCAAAATATTCGCTAAACAATATTGAGAACAATTACATAGAAAATGCTCAAAATAATCGCATGAAATTAATCGCATCAAAATTGCATGAAAAATCATTAAATTTAAAACAAATCTGATTATAAAATTAATAAACTTACAATAATTAATCCAAAATCTGTGAAAATATCGTGATGAATTTGATGAACTTTCGCCAATCTGTTGAACTGAGGAGAGGGAGAAAGCTGAGAATTTTAGAGAGAGAAAGCTGAGAGTTGAGAAACATAAAATAACTAGATGAAGGAAGAGGAAAAAGAATTTGAATAAACTCCTTCAAATTACAAAAATGTCATTACTAATCATTCATTTTGAGCGGTCAGATCAAGCTAATTCCACGGTCCAGATTAGTTCTTATATATAATGGGTTCTTATATAGAGGAGGGTTCTTAAATGAGCCTTCCTCTATATATATATATATATATATATATATATATATAATAGAGAATGGAAAGCGAGGCGAGAGAGAACGAGAGCAAAGGGCGAATGGTCTTTCTACTAAAGAGAACGACTTGCTTCGCAGGTCGAATAAGAAAATTAAGAGAAATTCCTCAGAGATTTCTCCTACTTTGTAGCAGATTCCTTGGGTGAGAACCAGAGTAAGGAACAAACCTCCCCCTGTATATTCAGGAGGCTTCTGGTTGGAACAAAATCCTGAGAAATGACATGGAAATTGAAGGCTTTGACGAGGAGGAGGTCTCCGATGATGACATACCGCTGGACTGTGACTCGGATGACGAAAGTTGTCCAACTATTCTCCTAACCAAGGAAGAAAAGAGAAGGCTAAGAGCGCCGTGGAAAAATGCCCTAATTATCAAATTATTTGATAAGAGGATGAGTTATGCAGTCTTGGTCAAACGATTGAGATTAAAATGGCAATTAAAAGGAGATATCGCATTAACTGATGTTGGGCATTATTACCATGTGGTTAGGTTTAATAACATGGATGATTATGATTGGGTTTTATCCCAAGGTCCTTGGCTAATTGGAGATAGCTATCTAACAATTAGGAAATAGGAACTGAATTTTGTAGCTGATGAAGCCCCGACCAAGACATTGAATGCGTGGGTGCACATACCATAACTCTCGGTGGAATATTTTGATAAGAAGTTCCTGTTTAAGATTGGGTCGAAAATTAGTTAGGTTATTAAAATCGATCGCAATACTGAATCAAGGGATCGTGGACAATACATCAGATTTTGCATTAAAGTGATTTTGACAAAACCTCTTTTGTCAAAGTTTAGGCTAAATGGTAGAATCTGAAAAATCCGGTATGAAGGGTTGCGCCAAATTTGTTTCAAATGTGGTCATCTTGGACACAAAGAAGATGGATGTAACTTGTTCAGGATAGATAGAAGTGGAGATGATGCTGGTGAATCTCCAGATGGGCATCCTGCAGTAGGGAAAGGGGTGCAAGGCAATAGAGAGCGGCCTGAAGAACAGGGGAAGTATGGTGCTTGGATGTTAGTTCAACGCCCCCAAAGGAAGATTGCCCCCAAGTCTAAACCTCACCAAGGCAAAAAAAACAGAATAATAATTCTAAGGCTGCTAAGTATAATTCTAGTAACAATGGAGGTAAGAATACAATAGTTAATAATTTGAAGGGAGGTAGTAGCTCAAGGAAAAGTGTCTAGGAGAATTCAGCTACAAACCAGGGATCTAGGTTCAATGTATTGAATCAGGGAGAGGAGATGGAAGTAGAGGACCTGATTTTGGAAAGAAATAACACTTATGTGGTAGTGGACGAGAATCTAGATGTGAATGATTCGGTGATGGATAAAAGTGTTGTAAACTTGGGAGAGGATGAGAATTTAGGAAAGAATAAAGGAGAGAATTTTTTTATTCAAGGAAATATGGAGGGGAACATGGTAAGTGATGAGATGGAGGATGATTCTGTAATAGGATTGGGAAGCTCTCTAGATTTGGTAAATAAAAAGATTGAGGAGAATATCTCCGATCAGAATAAATATAATCTTCTTGTTAAAGATATAGCAAATAAATCTTTTAACCAAGATACTATCTTGAATAAAAATAAATCTCCTTTGCAACTTAACAATATTGTGAATAATTTGGATCCTATTGATTCTTCAAAAGAACCAAATTTTAGCAAAATTTCTTATTCAGCAAGTGGAAAGGAGAACCTCATTGAGATTGCTACCTCAACACCTTCTGTACTTCGTGGTGAAAGAGTGAGCTCGAGTGTGGGTAATGATGATGCCTTACCAAGTACCAATTACATTGGTTACAAGGATTCCCAGGGAATACGAAACATTCATCGACTACCAGACGGAGGGGTCGACCTTGGTGTATGCACATCCTATGGAGAACAAGATGGAAATGGAGGCGAATACCTTTCTACCTCCTCAGTTCAACCCGGCCGAGATGTTGGCGAGGTTTCGTCTTCCGTTCGAGACGGATGGTCCAATGAAGGCGTTGCGCGATGCTTACCTAAGCATGATGCCTAGAGTGCCTTTGGAGATTTATGATAGGTACCCGAACTTCCCAAGTTTTAATATGTCGATAAAAATTTTAGTTTGGAATGTTCAAGGGGCAGGGAATAAGCTCAATTCAATTAGAGAGTTGGTGCGTATCAACGATCCTATGGTGTTAGCACTTGTTGAAACTCATTTGAGTGGTGAACAAGCCGATAATATTTGTGCTCAAATTGGTTTTTCGGGTTAGATAAGGGTGGAATGAAGCTCAAGGTTTTAGTGGCGGTATTTAATTATTTTGGAGAAGGGAGCATGTGAGTGTTACTTTATATGATGAAAACTCTCAACATATGACTATCTTAATTAAGAAAAATGGTGATGATCCATGGCTGTTCTCGACAATATATGTAAGCCCTGATAATAGTCTGCGTAGAGACCTATGGAGAGAGCTTGAAAGAATCCATAGCAATTATTCTGGCCCATGGCTTTTAGGAGGCGACTTCAATGAGACAATGCCGATTGATGAGAGGAATGGTAACAACAATTCTGAGATGCAGAGACGACGTCTAGAATTTTCTAATTAGGTGAAGAATAATGGTCTTATAGACTTGGATTGTACTGGACCTAAGCACACATGGTTTCTGGGTTTAACCCTGGACACTTTCAAATCGGAAAGACTTGGCAGGGGCCTTGCTAATGAAGAGTGGAGGTTATTATTTGAAGAGGGAGCTGTTCGAAATCTTCCAAAAATTAAATCGGACCATGGTCCGATTTTAATTAATACTAATGGATTTGCCCCAATTTCAATGGTGAATAGACCTTTCAAGTTCCAAGCGGCTTGGATGCATCATGAAAAATTTGAGGATTTTGTGCATTCGACTTGGGATGAAGCAACCCATATTGTTCCTAGTTTAAAGGAATTTGCAGTGAAGCTTGAATGTTGGAACAGGGAAGAATTTCATAATATTTTTTGCAAGAAGGCAAAGCTATGGGCTAGACTAGA